CTCCACAGGCCCTAGAATGCTGGGTTCTCAAGAAGGGCAAGCAGGCAACAGAGAAGACAAGTCTCAGGTGGTTTGCAGGTCACCAATCTCATTCCTGGGGATTGAAGGGTTAGATAATGCCTCTAATGCCCGGCTGTTCTTAAAGGGATTGGCTAAATTTACAGCTTCTAATGCTATTTGCCCCTGGGCTAAGTGGGAGGGATGCTGGAAGGGCTGGGGTGGATCCAGCTTATTGTCTCTGGGTTACAGGATACTGCTGGACAGGCTGGGCCTCACCTTTCTTTTGCTTCAGACGTGTAGCTCCTGAGGTTGCTGTGAGCTCCCCAGGCCCAAGCCAGGCAGGGCCACAGGGCTAGGGAGAGACAGGCTTCCCAGCACAAGCCTTATCCCTCTGTGCTGGCTTTCTAAGGAAGCCACATAGCTCTGGGACAACAGCAGTGAGGGGGTGGGTTGTGTGGGCTGGGGGAGGGGAGAGGACATCAGTGTGGGGGAAGGCTTCTTTTCATGGGAGAACATGGGTGTGTTTCATTTCTGGATTTAAAAATAGGCAGCCAGGCCCCTGTGGCAGCACGGCTGTGATTGGCTGCCACAGGGGGCAGGACACCCTGGGACACCAGAACAAGGTCCTTTAACAAGGAGAGGCAGCTCCAAGAGCAGAGCACTACTGTCCCTTCCCTAGAGAGCCACAAAGGTGCTGGGACTGGCTGTACTGCAGCCTTGTCTGGGAATTAAGCAAAGGAGCCCCTGCTGGTCCTTCTGCAGCCTGGGCCCCTGCGCCATCCATCTTGTGCCCACTCTGGCTGCCCCTCCTGCCTGTGGCAGCCCCTTTAATGCCTTTTATGGTGAAGTGCAGCCTCAGCACTTTTCCCACTCCTGCTTGAGGCCCTTTTTGTTCCACTCCATCCATCACCTGGCAGGGAAGGAGGGCAGGGCTAGGATGCAGGGACAAGTTCTTGGGGTCTGTCTCCCTCTGTGTGCTCTTTGTCCTGCATGGCCACCATCAGAGGTGTCCCTGACTTCTTCCACCCTTTCCTTTCTCCTTTTCCTTCTTCCTTTGGTCCCAGCCATCTTTACTTTCACTGATCATTAAAATAGGAGCCCCTCCTTGCTGGCTCTCAGCTCAGCCAGCAGCCCGGCTGTGTGAGGATTTCCCACCAGCACTTACAGTAATGGAGAAAGTGAGTCAGGGCCAGCCCCCAAAGCTCAGGTGGGAAGGCAGCCAAGCCAGCCTTGGTGGACAGCGCCACCTTCCCTGTGTCTGCAGCTACTCCTCACTCTCCTTGCCTTAAAAAGGTGGTGGAGCTTCTAGGCTTATCCCTGAAAGAATTGAAACAGGGATTCAGGCAGATATTTGTACATCTGAGTTCACAGCAGCCAAATATGGAAACAACCCACGTGCAGGTCAATGGATAAATGGGTGTATAGACCAACTGTGGCAAATGCATACAATGCATTATTGTAATAGGATGTCTTATCAGCCATAAAAGGGCATGAAATTCTGACACATTATAGCGTGGACGAACTTTGAACACATTATACTAAATGAAATGAGTCAGGCACAAAGGATAGATATTGTATGATTCCACTTGTACAAAGTACCCAGAATAGGCCAGTTCATAGAGACAGAGGAACAGTGGTGGTACCAAGGCTTGGGCCAGGGGTTGAGGAATTATTATTAGGTGGGCTCAGAGTTTCAACTGGCAATGATGACAAGGCTCAGCAATGGTGACAACAGTTACATAACATTGTGAGCATATTTAAAGCTGCTGAGCCGTACCCTTCCAAATGGAGAGTTTTAGGATATGTATATTTTACCATAGTAAAAATAATGTCAGGGTCAGGGCACAGGCGCCTCTCTGAACTTCCAGTCTGGGGGCTATAAGAAGGGCCCAGCAGAGCACTCTCTGCCTCTTCCTGCTCCTAATTCTCCTGCAGAAGAGGAGCCTGCAGAGTCCAGTCCTGAATGCACCCCATCCCATTGAAGGAGGGGCCTCAGCTCCCTGGAAGGGATAAAGTGCAGCATGCAGAAGCTAGGGAGTCTCCCAGGAGCTAGACTCTCAGAAAGAGAGGAGAGGAGAGACAGGCTGGTGAGCAGTGCTTGAGGTCTGGTCACCACTGAGGCGCCACATAGAATGTGCCTCACAATTTTCATATGAGACCAAAAGGAAACCTGTTGTCCCAACCAAGGGCTGTACTGTAGGATATTGCCTCATTACATACATGCTCAAGTTGCAGGGTCCAGGTGGGCTCCTGCAGATCTCTCACGTCATAGGAGCCCTGGACATCAGGCGTCAGGGTAGTTGAGATGAGACACACCATACCGTACACCATACCACACACCACGTGACTCTGGATAGCAGAAGCTGGAATAGAAGGTGGCTGAGAGGACATGAGGGTTCACAAGGCATCCAAGATAGGTGCCCACTGAGGAGTCCTTTTTCCCTCTGGACACCAAAAGTCACAGAGTTGGGATGGGTCTCAATCTCTGTACTTCCTCAGCAAGCCAGTGTGGTTTTGGGGTCATTACCACACCCACACTCCCTTGTACAACTATGGTATGGCTTATGAGATTTAAACATGCTGGGAAGACCAGCAGCACAGGCTGGAGGCCACAGCTATAGGCAGAGGCCAGCATTCAGTCCTCTTGGAAATGGCTCTGGCTCCGGCGTTGACTTCCTACAAAACCTTGCTCCATATCCTATACCTGTCAGGTGTGCCAGAAGCCCTTGATAAAGCTGTCAGTCTTCCAAGGAATATAGGTGGGCCTTCGGCCCTGGGTGTGCCTGCAGGTAGCTCCTTTTCAGCCCTCCCTGGGGATCAACCTTATCATTCCCATCTAGCTCAGGCTTGGCACTGAGCCTGCATGAGACACCCTTCTGGAGCCAGCACCCAGGCAGAGAACAAAAACTGCACAGAGCACTTAAAGAATTCTCTGCTCCTTGCCAGGCAGTGGGGAACAGAGACGTGGGAGCTGTCCTGAAGGCTGCCAGGCTGCCAGCAGATGGGAGGGGAGAGAGATGGCAGGGTTGGAGTCAGGCTGGCCTGGAGACCCTGGTGTGAGTTAGTTTGGGCATGTTACTTAACCTCTCTGAGCCTCTGTTTCCTCTGCTAAGTACCATAATTATGCTAATTTCGTGGGCTCATCCTGAGGGTGAAGTGTGTGGAGGCACATCAAGTGCTGAGAACCAATAGGGAACAGTAAACACTCACATTCCTTTTAATAATACGAGACACAGCATTCAGATCCGTAGCCAGGACTGGGTGAATCCTTTGCCTCCTGGCCTTCCCTTGAACCAGGAGGTTGGACTCATTGCCAGACAGCCTTTGTTCTGGCACTGCATCAGTATAAGGATGCTCTGGTGAGTCGGGCAGGGGCCGCTAAGTGAGGGGCGGTGGGACCAAGAAGCAGGGGGCACATTCTGCGTTGGTATTTGATTGCTGTGTATGAGGGCTGTAGCCCTACAACTTAGAATATCTGCTAATCGCCGCCTCGTTCTGTAAGTCTGTGGCTCAGCAGTCTTCACTGGCTGTTTTCCCTCAGGAGAAAGCTGGTGAGGGTGGGCTCATGGAGCCCAACTTGGAAGCACTCTGAGCCCTGCCTCATGTCCGCTCCGGTTAGCACTCAACCAGCCCTTGGCTGTTAGCCCATAACTGCATTCCCTACAAATCCTCAGAAACTGAAGGTTTTAAAATCCAAATGTCCCTTCAGCACCGGGGCCTGGCCTTTCTCATCCACTGGAGCATCCACATAACCTCTGACACGTTTGAGCCCTGTGTGTCTGCTCTCCTGACCTGCTTTATGCTTTCTCAGTGTGGAGATCTGAAGGTCGGGGAAGACCTTCCAGCTATACCGATGAAATCTGTTCCGGCTGCTTCTCCTTGGCTCAGTGGGGTCCTTGTGCAGATCATAGGTCTCCAGATAATTCAGGGGACACAAGACAACCTTTAAAAGTCTGTGCCTATCTGGCCTCAAGGGTAGGGTTCCTATGTGGAGGTGAGGACTGTAACTCACCTCACTGCTTGGTGAATAATATATGACTGCAGTGGACGAGGGCTGAGGGAGACAGTAGGGCTGTCCCTGTGGGCTTGGACCCTGAGGATGGGCTGACCCAGCCTTGGTAGGAGGGCTGTTGTTCAGTTGGTCAGTGCAAGCTGGCTTCTCAGGAACAGCGGGTCACATCCACCAGGCCCAGCTCAAGAGAGGGCCTCAGGGCTACCGAAGGTGTTCATGCTCCCTTGGAGGGTGACCAGACTCTCCTTTGGCTTGGCCACACCTGCATGGACAACCTGCCTGACCTGTTATGTTCTACTGGTAAAATAGTCACGATGCTATAGCAGAATAGAGCACATGTCCCCCAAGCTGCCCTACAGCAAGGCTGCTAACCTGAGACCCACAGGCTCCAGCGAACTTTGGGGACTCTAGTAATGAGAAAGGAAGAAAGTCTTTGTAGAAGAAGGCATTTTCTTGGTGGGCTAAGCCCTTCCTAGGGTTTGTGTTTGGACCTCTGGACTGCCCAGGCCTTGAGTCAGGGATGTAACACTCTGTGGCCTATTCTTGTAGTAGATTTTTTAAATTTTATTTGGTGCAACCAGGGATTGAACTCAGATCCTTGCGTTTGCCAGTCAAGCGCTTATCCTACTGAGCCATCTCCCCGGCCCCCTCTTGTAGTAGATTTTGTTAAATTGTGTCAGGCAGTGGGGCTCAGGTGGTGACTGTGGTTCATGTTCTGCTTTTCCCAGACAAGGCCAGGGCATGCACTAGCCCAGACACTGCCCAAGGTCTCCCTTTGGCCAGTGAGGCAACAGATTTGCCTTCTTTGGCCTCAGTTTCCCTCCCCTTGCAGTGGGGACTCAAAGTGTTCTTTATGCTAAAGATAAACCAGTGCACATGACTTTGTTGTCATTTAGGAGATGAAAATGTCACAGGAGAGGAGACAAAGTCTCCAGGAAAGAGTATTTCACAGTGTCTCACGGAGTCCGTCTTTTCTCATTCCCGCCAGCCTGCCCAGGCCCCTGAGCTGCAGGGATGGAAAACTCCTCTGCGGCGTCGGCTTCCTCCGAGGCAGGGAGCAGCCGCTCCCAGGAGATTGAGGAGCTGGAGCGCTTCATCGACAGCTATGTGCTGGAGTACCAGGTGCAGGGGCTGCTGGCCGACAAGACAGAAGGCGATGACGGCGAGAGCCAGAGGACGCAGTCCCACATCTCTCAGGTGAGTGCTGGCCCAGGGCAGAGCTTAGCAAACTCAAGGAGGGTGACCCTGGGGACTTCAATTCTGGACAGTGTCTGATCACCTGGCCTTGGGCTGCTCAGCTCTGAATGGTTCCCCATGCCACAGCACCTGGAATCACATAGGAGAGACTTTGGGATCCAGGCAGGAAGCTTGCAGTAGCTACATATGCCTGACTCAGGAACTCACTCCTACTCCTTCCTACCCATGGACAGCTGAGGGCCAGCCAGACTCTCAGCTAATTATGCTTTTGAACACATTTTTTTGAATACCTACTATGTGCCTAGCAGTATCTTCTCCATAATCCTCCATTCTCAAGATCTGAAGATTATAGCTTCCTATAATGCATACTACCAGAGGACTATAACTTAGGTGTATTTTCTCTGATTTTTAAGAACAGACAAGTGTTAGAAGCCTAAAAAGTAAGTGTTCTGGTCTGTTTCCCCAGGGATCTGGTTGCCAATAGACTTAGATGCATTAGGTGTTCTGACCAGAATCTCGGGCTATCTTCCTGTTCTTGTGTCAATTTGTGGCAGCCCTGGCTTCGGGTGGGAGGTGGCCTCAGCTAAAAGGTTGTAGGCTGAGATTTGGAAGTCTTGCATTCTCCTGAGTAAAGGATCACTGTGGCCACATGTTTCTTTGCCTGTTGTCATAAATGTACAGTAGATACTTTCAAGACTTGGTTCCAGATTTGCTCCTAACTGCCTATGTGCCTTAAGCAAAGCCCCTAGTATCTCTGAAGCCAAGTTTTCTTATCTAGCAAATGGGATTGTCCTGCTATTCAGGAATATGGGAAGGGAAGTGAGGACATGAGGTATGGAAGCCACGGAGAAGCAGGTGTGGCCTGCCACAGGAAGGCTCAGAAGGGCCTCCCATCCTGCCGTGCTCAGTGTCCCAGTGCGCACCTCTTGGATTTGCCCTCCCCCTCCCCCCAGTACCTCAGACTCCTATGGCAAAGAGAGGGTGAGCTACTTGGGAGCCCTGCTTTGGAGAAAAGCTGGATGCAGCCACCTGTTCCCTGTCTGTGTGGAAACAAAATCCAGTCCTTCTGTTGTTGCAAGAGCCAGAACAGCCCTGTGGCTTTCCTGGAACTCAAACCAGGAGCCAGGCCAGAAGCAGAGGCAACAAATAGCTCTGTGGGAGATGCAGAAGTGGGGTGATGCTTTCCTGTGTGGCCTTGAAGTCCTAAGTTCAGTGTATAAGCCTGTAATGTGCTTGTCACCCTGGCCACAGAAGTATATTGAGCACCCTCCCCCAACACTGGGCGTGGCTGTACACTGTTCTAGGACTCGGGATCCAGGACTGAACAAGACTGCAAAGAGCTCTGCCCTCTGGAGCTTACATCCCAGTGCGAGGTGATCTTGCAACATAAAGAGAAACATAAAGCAAGGAAATGGAAGGGAGTGACCCTGAGGAGTGTGGAGGTAGCAGAGGGATTGCAACTTTAAATTGTGTAGTCAGGGATGAGGCCACTGATGGAGAGGAAAGGATAAGCCGGAAGGAAATTTTGAGATAGAGATGAGCATGCGCCAAGGATTGGGCTGGAGAGGAGTCCAAGGCCCAGTCAAGAAGTCGGAATGCTGAAGCAGAGGAGAGGGAGGCTGGGAAGTAAGAGGGAAGGGGGTGGGGGGAACACACAGAAGCAGGAGGTGCAGGGCCGAGCTGTAGGGGCTGTAGCCCCTGGGAAGAAGGGATGTAAAGAGGAAGTGTCCAGAGAACCCAGAGAGGCTGAAGACAATCGGGCCAGTGCAGTGTTCTGAGCCTTTGGGAAGCTGGTGCTCAGGATGTTGGGAGAGGGTGGGTCACCTTGGATGCTGTTGCCAGGCCATATAACAGGAGGGCTGAGAATAACCACTGAGCAGTGGGACCATAGGGCCAGTGACCTGAGAGCTCCAGGTGAGAGGTGGAAGTGGAATCTAGCTGTGGTTGGATCAAGGGCGAGAGGAGATGATTGGAGACAAGCCTTTTCCACTACCCCTGAGGGGCTTAGCTGCAAAGGGAAAGAAATGAGGTGATATTGTGGAAGTGAGGTCAAACAGGAAATTAACAGAATGTTCTTGGGAATGCTGCAGGGGAGAGCAGCGATGGCCTTTTCTCTGTCCCTGAGCAGTCATCTAGAAAAATACCTGTGGCACCACTGTGGGTTTCCCCCAGCTACTTTCAACATGAAAATGCAGGTGCAGGGTTACAAAGGTGACCCTCACCAGGGCTGAACTTTCTCCAGGAGGGAGTGGCTGAAGGTGTAAGGATGGCAACGTAGCCAGATGCTCAGCCAGATGAGGAAGGGAGTAGGCACCAGAGGCGGGGAGTGGATGCTGAAGGGTGCTAGGGTTAGAGGAGTGGAGGTTCTGGTGAGCTAAGGAGAGGACATGCACTGGAAAGCTAGGAAGGATGTCCATGAGTAGGGCAGAGAGGGTGCAGGAGCTGCCCAAGGAGGGGCTGCTGAGAGTACAGGAGTGCATCGGGAGGGGGGTGTGGGACCAGGGCAGGATCCTGGGACCACCTCCTGGATTTCCACACTCCCAGGAAAGGGGCACAAGGTGATGGTGGAGGTGGCTGTGATCCAAGAGGAATGAAGGGAGTGAGATGGTAGGTGGTGGACTGGTGCACTACAAAAGTCTATGAGGAGCGCAGGAAGCATCTTGGCTAAGAGTGTGTTGATTTATTTATGCAAATTCATTTCTTGATTTAAACTGCTGTGCCCTACAGTTAGCAATATCATGACCCAGAATAGAAGGGGGAGGCAGGAAGGATGGGTTGGAAAATTTCCAAGGAAAATCAATCTCTTTGGTTAAAGATGGCAGAAAGGACAGTAACTAAGAGAACTATGATTGACTCAAGCTTAGATGCCCAGGTCTGGGAGGCAAGCAAATCAGGACTCTAGAGCAGCCTTGAAAGTGGGCATTTGTTGGGGAGGGAAAGGCTGCTGGCTATAACTTTCAGATACATTTCCTAAACTTCATTCATGCTGCTAAATTCTTTGGAAGAAGGCAGACGTTTGGCAGGGTTACAGACTGGTCTGCATGCTACTGGGAGAGGAGGGGCTTTTCCATCCTGCCCCGCTAGGTCCCTGCCTCCCCTCACACACCCCCACACACCCACAGCATACCTGGGGAAAGACTCCTGAAGAGTCACCATCTGTCCCTGAGCAGTCATCTAGAAAAACATCACCATCATGGCTACCTCTACATAGACCAGAGTTAGACACGTCTACCTAAGATACTTCTATAAAAAAGTAATCTCTATTGACACAGCTTTGTGGGAAAGAGTTCTGCCAAAGCCCTTGGCTTGTTTTTGTTTAATCCGATGACTATTTTAAATGAAAACCAAAAGAACAAAAATCCACTCAAAGAATGTCCCTGTCTGGCTGTCTGTGGTGGTATTTTGATGTTTCTGGGAGCGGAAAATTTTTAAGAATTTTGGAAACCTTGTGAAGACTTGAGGGAGTGGAGTAAAATGCTGCTGTTCAGTTGGTGAGGTCATCTTCTTAGCATTAGAGAGGACGGTGGACACTCGGAAGAAAACAGCCCACAGCACTTGCACAGCTGTGTTCCCATCTCTGCCCCCGAGACAACTAGAAAGTAGAAGTGAGCGAGGTGTGGTGGAACACACCTGTAGGAAAGGCTGAGGCAGGAGGATCCTCAGGAGTTTGAAGCCAGCCTGGGTGATACGGTAAGGTAAAGGGCAACCTGAAACACACAGTGGACCCTTGCCGAAGAAGAAGAGGAAGAAGAAGAGGAGGAGGAGGAGAGAAGAGGAGGAAGAGGAGGAGGAGGAGGAGGAGAAGGAGGAGGAAAAGGAGGAAGAGGAGGAAGAGGAAAGGAAAAAAAGAAAAAGAAAGTAAAGGTGGATGGATTTGTGAGTAAGGGTGGATGGGTTAGAAGGATGGATGGATGGATAGAGTTTCTCTTTCCTTAGATGAATATCCAAGAGAATGTAGGTTAAGTTTCCCAACTTTTTGCTAATACCATATTTAAAAGTTTTTTAACACCATATTTGAAAGTCCCAAATTTTAAAAGTAGCTCCTCTTCAGTGGATTTTGTGTTAACAAAGTCACATCCTGAAAGCTGTCTTCACTCTGTCTTTGCAAGGAGGGGAATTAGAGCTCTATCTCCTGGAAGGAAACTGAGGCACAGAGATGGAAAATGACCCAACCACCTTACTTGGTTGTGGCTGAGTTGACCCCAGAGCCCACTCCTACCTCAGCTACTTCTACCTTTCTGGGAACTACAAGCTGTTACTGATGGGAGATTGGGTGGTTAATATATTGTCTTCATATACGAAGAGAGTTAGGACTTTAAATCTTGTTGGCCACTATCGCTTTGTGGAGGAGACTGGGGTGCTATGGTGGGGAAAGTCTGGTGCTTTTCATATGAGTGGTTGACTCATAAATCATCAGAAGGCCTTAGAGAAGTGTTTGCCACTGGCTCCATGGGTCATTGGGAGCTTTGAAAAACTTGGTGAACGGCGCATACATTTACTGGAGACATAGTTTCTAGTCTGTTCTTAACAGACCAAATTAAGAGCCCCTAAACACAAGGATAGCTTCTTGCAGCACTTTTTGAGGCAGTCAGCCCAGAACTCTAGTAGTCTTTTGAAGAGAGGTGTGGCTAGGAAGGTGTTCTCATTGGCTTGCTCTCTCCTTACGTGGCTTTCCATTTCCCTTCATGTTTCTCCCTATCTTGTGCCTTCCCTATCAACTATTTGCCATTCCTACCTCCCCTGTCTGTCTCTTTTCTGCATTTCCTTCTATGCTTCAATCCATCTCCCCGCTGTCTTTGCTTACAGGAGAAAGTACCCAGTGGCAGACCTCCCATGAAAGGCTTAAGAGAGGAAGTGAGTTTGCAAGAGCACCCTGGGGTGGCTGGATTGATTATGTACTTCTGCCTTATTTAATTTTTTTATTTTTAATTATACAAGTACTGTATACATACATTTGCACCATACAAAAGAATTCCAATTTTAACAGTAAAATCCCCCTT